CAAAATAAGTTGAAAATATCATAAGCTGAAGATGGATTTAATACACCTAACGTGGCAAAAATCATAGCTTAGCTCGTCTACCTTAAACATGTTCAGAACACTTACATTAGCCTTCAATTGAACAAACTCATCTAACACAAAGCCTATTTTATAATGAAGTGTTAAATGGATCAGGTAATTTACTGAATACTGTACTGAAAAAGGAGAACAGAATGGTGTAAGAGGATCACGTGACTGACTGGGAGCTGCGGCTCACTGCTTCCGCCCAGCATCATGAGAGAGTATCGTACTGCTCATCACTGGCCCAGGAAAGGATCCAAACTCAAAGTATGGTTTCTACTGAATGCATATCACTTTTATACCATCGTAAAGTTGAAAAGTCATAAGTAGAACCATCATAAGTCAGAGACCATCTGTATTTCAATAAGCCAGTACGGTGCTCTATGAGCCTGAGACCTGTAAAAAACGTGAAACTTCCACTGAATGCCTTGTTGGAAAGTGAGGCACTGTATATTCTGAGAAGTGCCATGGTTACTATCAGTAGTGTCTGGAATTCCAACATGGATAAGTTGTGCCTTGGTGAGTCCTTTTATTGTGGACTTAGGAATGTACAGACAAACGTTACCTAAATTTATATTTTGGGTATCCCTGAGTCAAGAGATTCCCAGAGTTCTTTTACCACAAAGGGGTAACTTTTGGAAAGTAGCCCAAGAGTCTGAAAATATGCAGATGGAGCCAACTATGGGCCAGTAATAAAATGACTGACTGATGTTTGGTTAGCTGTGGTGACCTTGGTTTAGTTCTTCATCAGGGATGTCCCAATGGAGGGATGAAGAGCAGCAACTCTCCACTGAGCTCCATCATGTATGACTGTGTCTTGTTGTCCTTGAAGTCTAAGCACTCCCCAGTGCTGTGCATTCAGTTAACCCCAAGGAACTATGCAGGGAACCAAGGTGTCTGGGAAAGGGGTGACCTCCTCCTATACCCTAGCATCTTTCAAGGGACTGAAATAAGAAATGTCGTCCCTCCTGCAGGTGGCATAAGCCAGGGGGCCAAGGTTTGGTCCCATCATTACAAATAGGTGTCACTAGCCGTGGGGGCTGGTGGAGGGCTGTTTCCAGGGCCAAAGGCAAAATATGCAGCTTAGAAGAGGATCACATGCTCAGTGTTTGTGAGAGCCTCTATTTTCAAGAGCTCTCAGTACCTGGTGATAATAGCAGCTCTAATGGCATATAGTGTGGGACTAGGGCAGGTTCTTGCATCAGAAGCCTATGGACAACTTCAGGTCCTCCTCCTGAGATCCTCAAATCACTGTCATCAGGGTTAGAGGCCACCTCCATGACAAGCGGTTGCTTTACAGACTTTAAGGAACAAAGGCTTAAGTTGGGTTTGAACTAATCCCTTTGCTGTGCAAAATGCAATCTGTGGGTGTTGTCCACTACAACCCAGAGGGTCAGGATCTCTGCAGCAATAGATGCAGGGGCAGCATCAACAGAGTTACTTAGGGGTCCTGGTGAGCACTCTGTAAGCTTGTCATCTACTGGCTGCCTTTCCCTGTCTCTTCTCTTTCTCTCTGAAATAACTGCTCTTTAAGGAGTGACCATGTGATAGGCTCACCTCATTCCCAGGGTAGAATCATCCTTGTACCTCCTCCACTATTCCCCCTAATGTCTGGGTAATCCCAGCCTCAGTCACATCTTC